CAAGATTTCAACAAGAAACCATGCAGAGCTGAGGGTAATGTGCATAGTCCTAATTCTGGTTTTGTTGCTGAAACTAGTGGAGAAAGGGCATTGTCAACCTCCACAAATTTAAATGTGCCCCTGATAAGGAAGCGTCCTACTATCCAGAGAGTTGCTAATACAACTGCCCCCGTGACAAGTGATCTTTCTCCACCGTCATCAACGTCAGCTAGGCCGTCAGAACAAATGGTAATGGATCAGCATGCCATTTTAAACCAGTTGACCACTTTTCACACGCATTCACGTGACAGCTACACTCAAGCAAATGGCCACGCTGTGAACTTTGTTACAACTACAACTGCTACATCTCAGTATGGCATCATATCTCCCTTACAGAACAGTTATTTTGGAACAGTGGTGGAGCCTTGCACTTTTCCAACTAGATATCCTGCTGTGTCAGCCAGTGAGGTTCGTTTTTCTAACCCTCAACCACCAAGCAACCAATGGTTCTCAATGCCAATGATAGCTGATACCTCTGCTGCCTCACTTGCAATGTCAACTCATCAACCGTCTTCATCCTATGTACATCATCCTGATTACAAGTGATCTATCAAAGGACTACCAGATAATACAAGAAAACAAAGATTAAAATTTATTGGCAAATGACCAAATATGGAAATTCTCTTATTTGAACAATAAAATTACATGTTCACCTTTATGGTTTCATTTTGTTTATTTTTGAAATAATTTAGAGTAAAATCCTTTGTTATTTATTTATTGTACTTGTTGGCCATTTGATAGTACCACTCTGACATGCCTCCTAAGTAAATTAATACCTAATCAGCTTTTTAAAAAAGACATGAGGAGCAAGGAAAAGAAGCCAAAGTTATGTAGTTTCTGAAGCAGTCCACGATGAATCAAATAAAGCCATATATTAGGACGACAGGGAAGGGATACATGTAAGTGAGCTCTAGAAAAGGCAAACACAAAGAATTTAGTATTCTGTCAATTACATTCTCCCAGTCATGTAGAAGAGGCCTTGGATTTTAGTTGGTAA